TTGACTTTAAATTGTAATAAAAAATATAATTATTAATTAATATCTTACTTTCTATAATATTATAAAGAATATTAATAATTTTGATATAAATTATAACAAATTTAAAAAAAGAATTTATAAATAATTTACCAACTAAATTATTAATATTTTATTTTTAATAAAATTTTATTTATAAATTATAATAAATATTAAAGTAGAAATTATAAATATAAATAATTTACCAACTAAAAGATTATTAATTAGCATTCAAAATTTTAATAATAAATTAAGTTTAAATTATAATTTAAAAATAAATAACTTACTCCCTATAATATTATTGATTATTAAATATTTTTAAATATAGTTAAATTAAATTTAAATTAAAATATAATAAAGTTAAATGGTTTACATTCTAAGTATTATTATTATTAAATTTTTTTTAAAAAAAAATATTAATTATTAAATAATTATATATATAAATAATGGATAATAAATTTATTACTAATTAATTCACCGAATGTAGGGGTATCCGAATCTGATTCTATTATAATATTTATTTTTGAGAAAATTTTGGAATTAGTGTTAATTGTATTACCTTTATCAATAAAAACTGTTTCTATTTTTGAATTTTAAACAAAATGAGTATAATTAACGGTATATACTACCTTCTAATGAGGAAGCTTTTTTAACATCCGAAACTGGCTCTAATATAAATTCATGAAAAAAAAATATTAAAATATTATCAAACCGTCAAATTAACTAATTTTAGTCATACAAAGCTTCATTCCTTTTCTTCTTTTTTCTTGTTTGATGAAAATTTTTTTAGTTTCTTTATTATACTATTACCTTTATAATTATTATTAGACATTTTTATAATGTGTAATAAAAAATAAGTTTTTTTTTTTTTAAAAAAAAAAAATTATTTTAATCAAATTACTTGTATAACGATAATAGAATGTATTAGCAATACATATGTGATGTGATGCACAAGAAATAATTATAGTATTAAAGGAGGATTTGTGTTACGGTAAAAAAAATTTTAGTTTTTAGACGATTCGTGTAACTCCAACGACTGGCCATTTTTATATACCTAATACACCAACAACACTGACACCAGACACTAACACTAAGAGATAGAGGATAAGGTAAAGGTAGGTAGGAGAGGAATCTACCTCAAGGAATAAAGGTTGTTTAAATATTATTTACAAAAAAAAAAGAAGATTTGGATCTTCCACGACCGGCACAGTCAGGTGCATAATGAAATTGTTTTTTTCCTACTATTATGTATTTTCTACTCCTATTGTTGATTATTGATTTAATTAATAATAATGTTTATTTTTTTCGATTTTTGATTTATAGGTTAGATAAGTAGATTTGGCTTATTGCAAAGGCGCAGTCAGGTATGTTATATTGTCTATTTTATTGTTGTTAATTAATATTTTTTTCGATTTTATAGGTTAGGGCCGGACGAATGCGAGCACGGCTCGTCACGGCGATAACTTAATAAAGGACAACTAAAGCAGTATAATAACCATAACTAGCGGCGACAAAGTCGCCGCGCACCAACCTAATCTAGTTGGTAACTAATAAAAATAACCAAAGGTGATAATTTGAATCGGAAAAAATTTTTTGTTCTAATTAGTTAAAAAATAATTTGTTTGGCTGCTTTCAAATCATCGCATTATTTGTCTATCATCATTTAATAAGTTTTTGAAGCTTTATTTTTTAAAATGAAATTATTGATATTTTGTGCAATAAATTAAGTGTTTGAAGTCCCTGAATAATTGCATCTCTAGTTGTCTGATAAATACGAAAAATTAGGGTGTTTTGATAGGGTGTATGTTGTACAATGATGAAGGAATACATGTAAAATAATTGATATTTGCCATTTCCGTAAGTATATTTTACTTCATATAAAGTTTCTACTGCGTTTTCAACTTGTGTAAGCACAGTATTTAGCTACTTGATAAATATAAATTTTATAATCAAATATATTGACGAACAAATTCAAATCAGTAATTTCTCCTTCTGGAGTTCGAATTTAATTTTTAACTACTCTTTTTTTTTTTACGAAAATTTGACAAAAGTTTCTCTTATTTCCATTTCAAAGCGTCATAATGTTTCGAAATAGAACACTTTTCCAAATATACGAATTTTGAACCTATCTTAGATAATACCAAAGAAAATATTTACCAGAAATTATACTTCATATTATTCCAAGGCAATTTGATAGGATCTGCAAGAGATTGATTGAATGAAAATTGAATTGACCAGGAATATTTCTTTAAAAATCATATTTGATTTTGTGATAACTGTTAAATTAATAGTATAATACTGACTCGCGATGAGGATGGTGCTTCAATACAAATCGCAACCCAAAAATTTCCTCAAAGCTGGAAAAATAAATTTCCAACTGATAATAAATATATTATGCAAAATTAAAAAAATATATATATACACAGTATTTTGTATTGAGGCTAATATAAATTTGAAATATTCTGTAAATAAAAAAAAAATAAATAAATTTTATTAGACATAAATCAAAACTATATGATTATACTTATCGGAAGGATAAGATCAAAAGGACATTGAATTCATCGCGGTCGTGAGCTCAAAGGTAAACGACTGCTAAAGAATAAATTTGTTAGAAAAGTTAGATATAAAAATTAAATGAACTAGTCCAAAAGAAATTCTTCAACTTTTTTTGACGATATTCCTTATCTATTAAGTTAATTTAGAGGAATTTTATAGAAACACGGTCATGCTAATATGGAAACTAGCATATTGTCTATCAAGGTTGCTCATGAATTAAGTACAGTACATAAAGGAGACACGGTACAATTTGTATTTGTAAGCAGAATGATTAATAAAAGATATTGAAGACCTATTTAATAAAATTAATAAAGTGTTGCCTTCAACTTCGACTTTCGCAATTCCAATTTTATTAAACACAATAAATGTTAATACTAAATGCTAATTAATTAAAACTACGAAAATAGCAAAATAAAATTTATAATATAAACGAAATATTAAAGGGCAATATGCCTACAGGAAGATTGGGTATGGTATGCATGTAAAATTCTGCCAGGAGATACATTTTGGCTACGGAACACTTCATTGATCGTAAGGTAAGTTACAAAGTCTAATAAAGATAATTTCTAGGGCTTCTAAAAATTATCGTTTTGTAATTATCGTTAATAATAGCTCGTTTTTAACATCCCAAGCGCTTTATTCGATAAATAAAATTAATTAAAAAAAAATACACTAAATTCCTTATTAAGCTATAAGATCGTCGAAATCTCAAAATCAAAAACTTATGGTTCCGACCTTTGTCATTTCGCCTCGTCTTTATGCCTTATAAATGAACTCTTTATTTCCATCAGACCGTTGATAAACTTTACTGATATGATACTTTTTTATGTATTTTATTTTAAAAAGTGAAACTAGATTCATGGTTATGGCCGGCCAGGGGCCGACCTTAATATTTGAAAGAAACACGTGTATATATTGTATATAGGGTTGGAACGGTCCGGTTTGTCACTGCGGCAAAGGTAAGTCGTCGATTTTTATTTTAGTTTATTTTTTTTAATAAAAAATATTAATTTTAATATTTGATCTTCATTTTTTTTTTTATTTAGGTCCGATCGGTTCCGTCCCTTAGTCTAAGATCCGGATGGAACTTTCGAACGGAACTGTCTGGTTCGTCACCTAGACGAAGGTAAACTGACTAATTTTTTTTGATATATTTTTTTTCTTAGGCGATTTTAGGTTAGATCAGACCGGAATTGATCGGTGACGACTAAAATTATTTTTCTAGTGCATTGTTCTTTATTTTATTATTCTCAAAATTATTTTTTTTTAGGCTAGATCAGTTCATCCCTTGGCTGGAATTATCTATTTTCGTTACCGCAGCATAGGTTTTTGACGAATTCTTTGATTTTATCATTACTTTAAATATTAGTAATCGTAATTATTATTTTTTATTTTTTTTTTTTTTTTTACATAATTATATAATAAAAATTACAAAATAACTTTCTTTATTTATTCATGTGATTCTTTTGCCCCAATTTTTTTTAAAATCATATTTAAACAACCGTTGTTCCTATCAATATTAATATTGATATTAATATTTGATATTGATATAAATATTGATATTAAAAACGGTCCCCATTGTTACTAACTAAATTTATACCTATTCCTTCCTTTTTGGGAATGGTCATAACTAACACTATATAAAGTGAAATCACCTGATACAAACAGCTATATGGTATAAACTGTATATAGTGTTAATTGTTTATATGAATTTACAAATTAAATTTTTAATTAAGATATATTATGCTAGTTTATTTTATACATTTAAAAACTTGATGGCGCAATTGATATCTCCTATGTTTTGGTAATTTGAATACATTTGGTCAAGTTGAAGAGGAAATTTTATTTTGTAATCTCCCAATAAGTGAATATAAATAGAATTAGTATTATATATTATCAAAAATCTTCCTATACTAAAGTGTATCATTATAATCTTAAATCAAGTGATACTATTATGACTTTTATTTTAGAATGCAAATAAAATATATATATAATTATGTGTATATTCTGCAAAATTAATTAAAAGAAAATAAATAGTTTGTGAAAGTTCTGTAATGAAAGATAATGTAGAAAAATCTATATAAAAAAAATTTGTATCTATATTTTAATTATTATGTATTTAATATATATAATTTATATTTATTTATATTTAAAAAAAATTATTTTAATGAAAATTAGAATAAATATCATATTTAAGGATATTTGATTGCAAAAGATAGATGTCATCTTAAATTAAATAATAATATGATTAAAATTTGGGCAAGAGTAATAATAAACAATTAAAATCTTAGTATTCTAATTGTTCTAATTATAAAATTTAACCAATTAATAAAATTTATATTATTTAGATTGCTAAAATTAATAAAGTCAATACAACAAATCCACTATTAACTAAACATTTTGATAAAATTAATTATTATTATCCAATTTTCTAAAAAACCTTTAGAATTTATAATAATAATATAATTATTTATAGTAAATTATATTTGTATCAAATTAATATTTTTATGTTTATTATATAATATAATATTTAATGATTTGATATTTATAATTTCAATTAAATTTTCAAAAAAAGTAAAATCTAATTTAATAACCATTTTATCTTAAAAAGTATCACCATATAAAATAAACACTCAACTAAAAAAATGATTTTTAAGATCTTATTAAATTTGTATTTCCAATAGGTCTACTAGAAAAAAAACTTTATTACTAAATCTATACTTGATATAAATGGAAGAGAATTTTTATTTAAGCAATTAATTAAAGAAGTTTTTGTAAAGCACATGTTTATTTATGAATAAAAATAAAAAAATAACTATTAATTTTAATAAACTTTTTGATGAAAATAAAATCATAAATTTTTTTAATTATTCAATAATAATCAATAAAATTAATTGATATATTTAACTTAAATATATCTACTATATTTAAATAAAGCTCTAAATAAATCTTTATTAATAGTCATACATGTAAAATTTAAGCTTTATATAGGATTTTGCATAGATTTAATCCAATTATTATTTTAACGTAAATAATTTTTATGTAAAAAATTTATTGTTAGTGTTAGTAGAAAAAATAAATAATAGTAATTAAACTAAAAAACTAACAAATTATATCATTTTTAATCAAAAATAATATTATATATTGGATTAAGATCCGGTGAATATAATAGTAAAAATTTTATTCATACTCCCTTTGAATTACAAATATCAACTAAATGTTGCCCTTTATAAATGGATGCATTATCCAATATCAAAACGCTATAGCCTGGATACACATTCATTTTGTTATTATTATGTATCACTATAAATATCATATAACTGATAATTATTAAGGTATGTTTAACTAAATAATAACTATTTATAGACCCTTTTTAAAGAATATAAGCTAAAAGACTATATAAACATAATCCTCCTTCTATGGTAAATCTCTTTCTACAAATATAAAATTTAAGTTTTCGTACATGTATCCCTCTAAAATTTCATCCAAAATGACGAAAGACATTCTTCAATCATAGGTAAACTCATCAGAAAATACAAGTTTAATGAGAATATTGTGACATGTATTTTATAAAATTTAATCTTTTACGTTCCGTTCATGTGCTGGTTTAGATAACTAACCCTATAAAAAACATTGTCCAGAAAATGTTATCGAAAATGTCCGTGTGCATGTGGAAAATGTCCAGAAAATGTCAAAATCGTCCGGAAAGTGTACCAAAACATGGTGGATTCCGGTGTTAGACCTGGTATTGTCTCGAAACCATGCTAACAAAATATAATAAACTTAATAACACAATTATCTCAAAGGCCTTTCCTGAGAGAGATTAACAATAAACAAACAAAACAATTTATTATCACGATTTACTTGTGTAGTAGGTTATCACGATCAATCCTATGATGAAGTCAAGAAGAAGGTTGAAAGTGTAAAATAGTAACTTTATTAAACTGTAGAGTTATAAGTCTAGTCCCAAGACTTATTCA